TTTTCTGTAGTCACTATAATTGCAAGATTTAATAAGTGAATTATTATACCCATCTAACTATAATGCTATTGTTGCTTTATTCTTTAACAACTGCTCCCAATATGGCTCAAATATATGCATAGTGCTGAGTTCATTTTCCTCTCATTAAAGTGGCAGGTGACAGTCATCAGTTTTCAAGATAGTTTACCATAATGTCGCGATAAATGACCACTTGTCTCTGCAGAGGCTACGATTTGTAACAATACGAAGAAAATATGAAAATATCTGATCTTTCCACAAAAGTGTAAAAGGATGAATGTCAGCACTAATTACATTTATTGGAGATTACAATTATATCACTGTAAATTATTCCTCCAGGAAAGAGAATGTGGAAACTTAAATACTGTTTTTTTCTTAGAACTCTGAGCAATAAATTATATACTAAATATTGCCTGGTGTACAGTGGTGTAGCTTCATATAGCAAGCGTATGCAAAACATATGGGCCGAGTAATGCAAGAGGTCTATTAGCCCATACAAAACTAGAAAGTATTCACAGGCAATATACCACCCATCAAAAACCGCAATAAAGGACTCGGTAAATTGCTACTGACACCATCGGTAAGCTTTGCATTGGGTCCCAGATATCCTGGCTACGCCAATGTCTGAGTATAGCCATAACGAATGTCTATTAACTGGTTTTCTTTGTCTGAAAAAATAAGTTTTTGTCAGTTTTTGAGACTCATCTAATGGTACATTACAGCATGTTCTTTCTTTTAATGTTGACTCTTAGACTATAGACCAAACAAGCTCTATAGACAGAGTATATGTACGCTGTATGCTTTGTTTAGATTTTCCGTATTATTGGATGTCTAGATACAGCTTTACAACCCTACAGTCAATAAATGATGATGTCCAGAATAAATTCAAAACAAAGCAATGGACATGATATATTATTTCATGTGGGGGTGGATTGGGGGATGTATTGTAGCAGAACTTTGCTTGTTTGCGCTTTCATGTGTCTAAAGTAATTTGGTAACAAATAGTGACGACATTTTTCATGTGTTTTAAGCTTAGTTTTATTTATACGTTATCATTAATGAAAGTATAGTTACTGTGTTTCAATAATTAAATATTATTTTAGTATATCTTAGAAAAACAAAATGAAATCACGGTTTTATTGCTTTAAACTAGATTGCAAATTTCATTCGAAGTATGGTTTTTATTTTCTACCGATGCAATACTTTATCATGTGAATTGGAAATGTCAGTGATAGTTATTAACAAGACGAAGACTTTTTGTCAACTGGGAAAAATTTCTGTGTTTATGATTGGTTGGGTTGTGGTAATGATTAGTTCCGTTTTCATTGGTTATTTTTTATCCATTCATTTACTTTTCTCCCAACTTACCATGAAACGAAACTGTTATATGTATGAAAAGCCTCAGCCGGAATATACAACCGACTGGATCGCACCGCTTTAGTTTATATATGAAACGACATTTACTGCAATATAATGTAACTCGTTAGAAAAGTAGAAACTACTACTTGTAAACAATGGTACAAACCCCTGTGGTTAGGACTATTGACGATCTGCATATTATTTATAGGCAAATATTAAGCAACGATACGAACCCATGTGGGTTCATATACCGATGCTTACAGAAAAAAAAACATTCAACTCTGAAGGGGTCCCTAGTGGCCTAGTGGTCTAAAGCGCTGTCCGTTACGGATCACTGCCATCGTCACCTCTGTCTGCGTGAGTTCGAGTCTAAGATTCGGCGAATGTGGATATGTGAGAAAGCTTGCCAGTAGCTTCTCGTTGGTCGGTGGTTCTTTTCGGTGATTTCCGTTTTTATTTTTCCTCCACCATTAATACTGGCCGCCATGAAACAAAACATAAACATACGTTTCTTTTGTATGTATATTCTACAAATAAATAAAAAAATAAACACACACACACACACACACACACACACACATATATATATATATATATATATATATATATATATATATATATATATATATATGTGTGTGTTCTTTTTATTTTTTGTAGAATATGCATACAAAAGAGACATAAACAGTTTTATTGATCATATATTTTGAATTTATCAATGAAGATTATACATAATCTTATAATTAGAACTTTTCCAATAGGCCAAACAATATCCAAATTGTTAATCCAATGTTTCGTTTAATAGATATTCCATTTATATTCATGCACCTTTTATTTGAAGTTGTAGAAATTTTATATCAGATTTTAAAACTGAGAATAATATTAGGAACACTATTTCCATAACTAGTTGATATTTGGTAAGCAACTGTACCTTTGTACCATAAACACAATGTCCTCAATACTGTTCAATGTAATTCATTTAAAGCGGTGTAAAACCACTTACAGTTACGCCTGACAATTTGTCCGTAGACATTATAAATTTATGTAAAATTTTGCCATTTCTGTCCTTGGTTCAAAATCAGCTAATTCATAAACTGAGTCACTATTTGCATTTTGATTTTTTTCCCAAAATGTTTTAAAATTATTTTCTGCTGTATGCGATACGATTTAGATTGTAATGCGCAATGAAACATGTTGTATTTTGTTTAATATCAAACATGAGTGCTCTAACACTTTGATGGCATATATTTTAATACAATCTTATTCTTGGTTTAATCTAATAATCTTCTTACCATTGAATTTATTTTTAAAAATGCGCTACGTTGTCCTATGGCCATTGCTTACATGTACACTGAACGATGTGATGTGATTATGATTTTTAACGTAGCTTTAACAATTTGTCAGCCATATCGCTACGATGTCTGAAGTGTGACAGTTTATAGTGATTGCTAGCACTGTGACATCACCCAGTTACATTATCCTGACACCAGGCCGACCAGTTCTAACATTAACCTCTTAATGCTGAGTGCCAAGCGAGTCAGCTGTTAGTACCATTTTTGCATCTGAGGCAGACTCTCTAACCACTAGGCCACCGGAACGGTGTACACTGAACTAGCTCGATTAGCTATTACTGAAGTTGGCTCAGTTACATCTGAGGCAGACTCTCTAACCACTAGGCCACCGGAACGGTGTACACTGAACTAGCTCGATATGCTATTACTGAAGTTGGTCCAGTTATAGCACTATATCATTTATTTTTGTTCAACTGAAGCTCTTAATTTTCCAGTATTATGTCCCATAGAAACACGGCAACAATTTAGCCGTGTTTCTATCACTTGTGTACTTCGTTATTTTCGGAGAATGCTTGCTATATGAAAATTGAAAATGGCATCACGGGTCTTTAAGATTCTCTTGTTGCCAGCAATTAAACATGTTAATAGCCCAATCATGCCTCCAGACTGTCACAAATTGTTGCGTCTACATCAAGATGGACGAAAAACAAAATGAATATGTCAAAAATGAATATGATATGTCGGATAAATCATCACCATGGACTCATATACAGTGAAATCTTATATTTGAATAATAGCTCTTTGAATAATTGCCAAAACCATTATATAAAACGTAATTTATCGTATAGAAAATAACGAACGGTTCATCGACAGTACTCACCGGAATTTACCACGCTATATACAAATGGGAAGGTCTTCCGGATTGACTGATTAATCGGAAGAAAGGCGGATGTGATTTTGGAGAGGTCTCCCTTCATATTACACGAATGCCCATTCACGAGACAAATTGTTACATACATCAGGAAGCTACACATAAAGTATTATCTCCGATTGGACGTACGATATAATGTTTTTCACCCATATTACCGTCTGAAGGACAGTAATATGAGTGAAAAATATTCTTTCCTACAAGTGTAAATTACAATGGATTTCAAATATAAGTGACACATTAAGAGTCTTACCATTGTCCTGGAGAATTGCAGTTTTGTTGAAAGTTTTCTGGGTATTTGACTACGTTAAGATTTCTTTTACCAATCAAATTTAGAAATGCATAAATCTAAAATACCAGTGTACGAGATCTTTAACTTATACGTGATATTTCTTTTAAACTTTTCTTTGTATCTAATATCGACAAAAATAGATTTATCAGCTTGTATATTCAGAGTTTGCAAGTCATGAGTCCGAATTAGGTTTTGCAATATGTAACTTATCCTTTTCCTATTTCTCTTGGATCGAACCAAAACAAATACAAAATATTTTTTTTTAAAAAAATTGTTTTTTCTAAGGGACATATTCAAGTAATATTTAGGCAAGGCAACTGATTTTAATGTAATAACCAAAATATGTTAAATTATGTCGAACATTGTGGCCCTTTTCTCTTTATAGTTCTGTCTGTTATTGACAAGTGACACGTTAATACATTGTGAATTACTCTCCTGTTATGATGCTATTAGCACAAGTCATAAGAGGCGACAAATTTGTAGTTTAAATGAACTTCATTACAGTTTTAAAATTCAAAGAAGACAGTTTTAGCAAAAATTATTTTATTGTTTTACGTTTCATTACAAGTTGAGGATCAAAACAGAACCGTTAAAATAATACTAAACAGAAAGAATATTGGTCAATAATGGACGAGACATCTTCTTTTATCTGGAAATTAGGAGAAACTAAAATATCATTCACAAAATACAGTTATTAACTTTATATACCCCATGTACACATTCGTGATTTTAATTAATTTTTTTCTGCAATTAGTATTAACTATTGTTAAACGGTAGTAAAGTAATCAATTTAATACAGATTTCACGTTGTTTTGTTTTTGTGTTTCATGAAGAAACAAAACACCGATGTTACCAACGAGTGAATCTTCAGTAACTAATTATGTAAGGTTCAGAAAATTTTGTTCGTTTCTGAGCTTTGACGTTAAGATGAGAGTGGTGTTAAAAATAATCTGCTAGAATAAATACGATGATTATTGTTTGAAAAAAATGACAAAATATGTTTTAAACTCGCTCTGAGTTTGTCAATCATATGATCGGGACTGAGTTTCAAAATCAGTTGGAATTTTTGTTCGGAGCGATATTTGACACAACTATTTCATGCTGTTATGGGAGCGCTCCGTTGTCCTAGTGGTTAGAGCGTCCGCCTCAGATGCGGGAGCTCTTGGGTTTGAACCCCGGCCAAATCATACCAAAAGAAATATAAATATGGTATTAATAGCTGCTTCGCAGGGGCGCTCAGCATTAAGACGTTAGTGTTACGGCTGGTTGGCTTGGTATCAGGATAATGTGACTAGGTGAGACATCATGCTACATATATGGGACATAATGCTCCATTGCTAAACATCATTATAAACTGCAAACTGCATACATCAAAGCGATATGACCGAAATATTGCTAAAGCTACGTTAAAGATCTAAATCACACACACACACACACACACACACACACACACACATATGGAAATATTTTAAACCAATTTTAAACTTTTAAGAAGTATGTTTTATTATATGGAAATTATTTTCTGGGATTGTAGATCACGATTAATATAATTCTGTTAAAGTATTTCAAGTGGGAATTAAAACTATAACGCACAACTGCAAGACTCTTATGTCTATATATTTCACTCAATTTATTATAAGCAGGTGAATGGTTTGTATTTTCATATGTCGCTATGGTACCTCCTGTATGTTTGATATTTTATGAAATAAAGACAATACGTTTACGGATTTGATGCTGTTAATCACTGCCTTGAAAACAATTGTCACACGTCAACGTCAACGTCGACGTTAAAATGAACATAGATTGATATTTTTTTGTATGTACGCATGCATAAAAGTAAGATTTCTTTTTAAATATATTACGACTGTCAAGTTTAAGAATATTTTTATAAGTCATGGCTCTTGGAATAAGTTTGAAATTCATAATGAAATTAAATATGCAATAAATCCGTAACATACGGGAAATATATGTATTATCTTGCTTACAAATAATTAACATTGCAGGAGAGTTATGCTTGCAAAAGGTTTTTAGCAGAGAAATGACGTACACAGGGGAATTGGGCATATAGCGAGTCTAAACCATCAGATTTTCTCGTTATAATGATTATATGTTTTCTCATCTGCTTTAACGAAAATCAATGTTACTAAAATGAATGTTGCCAATTATTAATTATTATAAGCTTAATTAAAAACCGTACCAGATATAAATTTCCTAAGTTATTAATTTTAAGCAAATATAATACAATTTAATAGCAATAATAAACATGCCAGATGGCATTTTTCTCAAAACTACGCGGGGGGGGGGAGTTATTTAATAAGTCAAAGAATGAACATGCAAAAGACACAATCAGGCATGTATATATGAATATTCAGATACTTGTAATTACCAAAATTTCACAGCAACTGGAGAACATTGCTCATTAGTTTGCATGCCCTAGACCATCCAGCATGAGACTAGTAATCTAGCGTTCCTGATCTAAATTTGGAAAACAGTTTTTTCATCACTCTTTAGACATAATGAAACGAATTTATTTGTTCACATTCACACATTATCTATTGAAAACTGGGTTAGAATGGGATTTTAGACTCTTATTATACATTTGTGTTGTAATTATCAACATTCGACTCATTGAGGATGGACGCATATGCATTTCTATTGCACCTTGTTATGACTTCTACAAGGTGTCATTTGTAACACATAATTTAAGTAAGCTGAAACTTATACTTGTTTTCTGTTCCTAAAGGCACAATGAACAGTAGTTGTGAAGTTATTGTGACATTCACCTGCCCAATATAAAAATCATAAAAAATAAAACACACAGGTGAGGTCAAATAGGTTCATATTTTAGATAGGTATATTAATGCATAGTCTTATAATATAACTTGGCCTGATAATTTGAGAGCAAAAAACAAGTTTATTATTCCCAAGCCCCAATTTTAACCTGCATATTTCATGTCCAAAGGCCATTTTCGACAACATGTGGTGCTCACAGTGCAAACAAAAGTCTTTTCGTTAGTGTTAATTCTGAGAAACTTTGTATACTTAACAGCTTTATGCAATTCCAAATAGTTGCCGTCCAAGCCGTTTTGACATACTCTACTTGCACTGAACTCACGAGTCTACTGCAATGGATGACAAGCTTTCTTTCCTAACCAACTATTGTTATTTCGCTGACTACCTACTGCAAAGCAACTGCATATAGGCGATGTGTGCATGCCTCACATTAATTTTAAGAGCATCACAAGCAATAAACATATATTTCACAAATATTATTTTTAATTATTTAATAATTATTACGAAAAAATTGCACCTTAACCTTAGTTTAAGAATTTGAACAAGTGCTACTGCCAGCTAACGACTTTTTGGACAATGCATTTATTCAGTAATATCTAAATCCGCCTGGTCACATGCTTTCAATAACAATGTTAAATGTATGCTCTCAGTCTCTTCATTATATATATATATATATATATATATATATATATATATATATATATATATATATATATATATATATATATATATATATATATATATATATATAACCACATGCAAGCAAATGTAGCAAGGAAATTGTACATATGATATAGGGTTTGAACCATCTTAAATGGGCATTACGAATAAGTAATTACTGTCATTGATGCTTATAATTTAAAATTAACGTACATCTTAAGACAAAATAGCTTACCGGTTTTTAATTTTCAAGGAAAAAAAATAAAACAGATACCAGTGGAATCAATCTCTTCAAAAATTTTCTTTCAAAAGAACTTAATGCTATACAAGTTACTATCTTTATATATACTCTCTGCATATTTTCCATCGCCATTTACTTGTGGAATATACCCAAATTCACGTCTGTTATAGCCTTCTAGATCAAGAACTTACACCTGTACTCGAGGATCAAAACGCAATCATGTAACAAATTATTTACTTGAGGTTGTACTAGAGCTTAAAAATATTAAATTACTGTGAGGGGAAAGAAATCTGGTACCGTGAAATTAAAACCGGACACGCATTTTATATTGTCGTGGTCAATCCTAAATTTCACTCGCAAATGACCTCCAGCTGGATGCAGAAGGCTCACGATTCTACAGTACAAAGCCTCCTGGGATATGTACACTAAATTGAAACCAGAATTGATGATATCGAAGGATTGCTATCTCAATTTGCTCCATCACTAAACTGAAACAAGAAAATGACATCTGGGAACATTATACACCTAGCAAACATAAATAGTTTGTGGAAGTACCGTCTTTTCTAGGCAAAATGAAATCTGAAGGCTGAAGCTGGATGAGATAAAATATAAATTTACTTGCCGTCCAATATCATCCCTAGCAAACAAAATAAAAACAAAATTCCACTAGATAATATTAAGTTGAACTTGCTACGATTTGTAAATCAGAACCTTGTTCTAAACAATTTAGCTTTTGATTTAATTTTAGATCCAGTCGGTTCATGCTATCACTGCACGAAGTAACCCAAAATTGCCTTAAGGCTACTACGAATAATGTAATATGCTGTCTAAGATTAATTACACCAATTCTTTTGTTTCTCTCACATTCCGATAGGATCAACATCCATTAAGGAAATCTTCGAATCCATTGCAACCAAGAGAATTGGTCGTCTTCCTGCAATTATCCTTTTAAGGTTATTTATCTTATCTGTCTGTGTTCTTTTGTCAGTAGAATCTGCATTATTGACAAATAAATGTCATTTGGAAGCCATATACATGATATAGGATTGCACCAATGTTTTGGTTTAGATCGTTCAATTGTACGCGTTTTGGAATGGCTTATACCTACGGCTGCTGAATATACCAGTTTCATCAATTTGTGGAGATCATTTTCTTTCTGCTATGATGCTTTTGAATACACAATGGGTGCACTTTAACTGGAACACAATACATAATAAATGTACCCAAGTTTAAAGGAAACAAAGCGCCACTGAAAAATAAACAAAACTTTGAGATTTATTTGTCACGGTGCCAAGAACTTCTCTGTAAAGGAAAGGAAATAATATCACGACTCGAGGGATCTTTATTCATTTTGAAATCATACTTGCTGTAGTGTTGAAGGGCACATCAGCTCAACTACGTGAGCATGGTGCCAAATAAAAGTATTTTTTTTCATATGTGAAAATGAAGAAAATGTACAAAAGTTTTGAGGAATATGAACCCCTAAAAATAAACGTAAACTATAAGATAAAATAGGAAAGGTAAGGATACTAAAATGATAAACATTTTCTATAAAATAAAGGAACAATTCATAGAATTAGTAATATAGAGCTTCATAAATTTGTTATAAAAATTGCATTCATTCCCTCTAACGCAATTTGTAATATATCATGATAATTTCATATGTAATAAATTCTGTCTTGCAGGGTTCAAGTTCCTTCATTTAGTGGACAATGGTAGATTATGCAGTCTGGTCGAGGTTCACTCTTCTCAAGTTACACTCAGTTCCGGTACGTGTGTCCTGTGCGCATTTGCTAAACATAATTTCATCTTTGCGATATGTTCTATTTAAGGGATATAATTCGCCAATGACTTGTTTTATGATGCGAAGTATTCTTGAAGACCATACATAAAATTTGAAGTCAGTATATGGAATATCCCATAAAGAAACAGGCGACTGCGTCACAGTTTTAGGCTGTATTATATACAGTTCGTGATCTTTAGTGCCAATGCCATCCAACAGTAGAGATTTTTTTTCTAGATGGTATGAGGAAATCAGTTTTCGTTATAATCTGTGCTGTTAGTGGGTTGTTAAGTATAAGATTTTTCAAGGATTTTCAGCGTGGAAAGAAAGTGATAGACGTTAATGAGCGTTTCATTGGCAAAACAAGTTAGAAAATGGATTGGATAAACTTTAAATGAGAACGTCTTCGTCCGACCGATATGTCCACAAAAAAGGCGGAGGTGAAATCATAAAACAGAAAGTGTTTGATATTTTCCTGTCTTCTTTTAACCTGGAGTTACCTGAGAATCCATATATTTGCAAATGACATCAAACATAAACCTGAACTGCAATATAAAGACTATATTTACTCATCCAAAAGAATGCTTGGCTGTAAAGAGATAATATGTCATTTGAGAATTTAATGAAAATGAAAATAAAATATAATTTTAAATAATATAAATAATATAGGCTATATTGTTTGCATACAAACAGATGTGCGTGTGCAGCCA